CATATGAGAATCACCCAAAGTTGACAGAAGAGCTATTATGATAAAAGACGGAAACCTCTTGAATTTAACGATGGAGATCATTTTTTCATGAGGGTTGTTCCGACTACCGGTATCGGTAGAGTTTTGAAATCCCGTAACTTGACTCCTCGATTTATTGGGCCTTATCAGATATTGAAGAGAATTAGGCCGGTAGCGTATCGTATTGCTTTACCTCCGTTGTTGTCTAATCTACATAATGTATTTCATGTGTCTCAGTTGAGGAAATTTGTTGGAGATCCATCTCATGTGGTTGAGTCTGATCAGATAGAGTTGAAGGATAATTTGACTTTGCGAACGTGCCGTTGAGCATCATGGATACCAGTATAAAGAGATAGAAGGCAAGGAGATGCCCTGGTAAAGGTGTTGTGGAGAGCCAAGTGGACGAATGAGACGTTACTGGGAAGTCGAGCAAGAGATGAGAGAGGATTACCCTCAATTTGTTCGAATCGAGGTTATGTTTGATTTTCGGGGACGAAATTCTTTTAAGAGGGGGAGGATTGTAACAACCCCGAATTTTAAAGACTTTAACGTTATAGTATCAGTCCTCTGAATCCCTCGCTTGAGCGAGAGATTCTCGCTGAGCGGAGAAAGGATCACCTGGGAGGGTGAAATCTTGGACTATACTGGAAGATTCTCGCCTGAGCGAGAGTTTCCTCACCTGAGCGAGAGTTTCCTCGCCTGGGCGAGAAATGGCAAACAGGGGTTGTTGACACTGTGAGATTCTCGCTTGAGCAAGAATACCTCGCTTGAGCGAGAGGGAACCTGTTGACACTGTGAGATTCTCACTTGAGCAAGAATACCTCGCTTGAGCGAGAGGGTCAGAGTTGAGTTTTTTTAAATGGGCGGGATTTTCTCGCTCGAGCGAGAGAAAGCTCGCTTAAGCGAGAACCCGACGAGAACATTAAATGGGGGAAAACCCCACACACATTTTAGGTTAAGAATTGAAGAGAGGTGAGAGAAGTGAGCATTCCCAGGTCTAGGAGCTTTGATTCTTGTTCAAGAGCTTGAGAAGAGGTAAAACTCTCAATCCTAACTCTCTTCTTCCCTTAATAACCCATTTTTGGTATTATGGATCTCTTCTCAAGATGTGTAAAACCATGAAGACTCTCTCTTTCGAGTTATGGTTCATTCTATGTCGTTTGTACCTCGTAAACTCTTGGTTTTGAGTTAGTATTCCAAGAATGGAAAGAGGTTTGTGGGTTGGCTCATGGAAACCCAAAACCCTAGAGAGAGAAAATGAGGTTAGAGAGGAAAGATGGATGAAATACTAGAGGTAGAAGATGAGTTGCTTTACAATGTTAAAATATGAGATGATATGTATGTGTTAGATGGTTGAAAACTCTTAATGAAAGTAGTATAGAACCATTGTGAACATGATAAATAGCTTGTACGTTTAAATGATGCAATATAAGTTATTTATTTGTTATTTGGAATGAATGGCTAACATTGTGTTATGTGGTGGGAATGAGGAAAGATCCTAAGTTTGGAGGTGGTGCCGGTGGAACTTGCGAAGTCACCAAAAACCAAACCCAACACTCACCGAGGTAAGTATAAGTCTTTAATTTATGCATTATGTGGAAAATGCGTGGACTTTCTGTATGGATAATGATTTAAATGTTATTGGGGGAGTACCAATGGAAAGATGACTCAAATGATTTAAATGTTATTGGGGGAGTACCAATGGAAAGATGACTCAATAAAAGTAATATTATTGGGGGAGTACCAATGGAAAGATGACTCAATAAAAGTAATATTATTGGGGGGAGAACCAATGGAAAGATGACTCAATGATTTAATATTATTGGGGGAGTACCAATGGAAAGATGACTCAAGTGAATTAAATGTTATTGGGGGAGTACCATTGGAAAGATGACTCAAATGAAATAAATATTATTGGGGGAGTACCAATGGAAATATAACTCAAACGAATTAAATATTATAGGGGGAGTACCAATGGAAATATGACTCAAATGAAATAAATATTATTGGGGGAGTACCAATGGAAATAAGACTCGAAACCTATTGGGGGAGTACCAATGGAAATAAGACTCGAATTATAATGACATAAATGATAAATCACTTAGTCACTATAAAGATATATGGGTATGTTTGTAGTGATGATGGGTGTATTTATGGTTTATGTATTGGTGTTGTGCCAATGAAAATAAAACTCGTTTTAGCCGACCTGAATAGGTTAGCGACTCTAGCTCGAGTTATGTAGCATGGTTTTTCGAAAGTATAGATGATGGTATAGATGATGAAAAAGGTTTTTAGAGTTTTTAAATCATATTACTGTTGAAACCTATTTAAATGTGGATTAAGTGACATTGAGTTTTATTGAATTAATGACTTATTCCTTTGTGTTGTTGTGCATTGTAAATGTTAATCCCATTTCAGGTAGGTGGACGAAGAAGGATGATTTTGAGTAGGGGATTAGGGACTTTTGTTTTGACGTCTCTTTATCCATTCTTTTGTAATTTTAAATTCATTGTAATTGAAGTAACTTATGATACTATGATTATTATTTTTGTACATGATATTGATCATGGGTACTAGTAACTCGGGATATATGTAGCTATGGGTGTTTTGGAAACCCATAGTTATTTGTATGCGGGGGTTACTAGGTTACATAAATGAATTATGTTTTTCTGCTATTGAATGTTATATGTCACTTATGGTTTAAGGATAGGGTGTGAGTGAGAAGCGAGACTTTTAAAGTAAATTTAATCACTCGGTAATTTAAGATTGACTATTAAATGTATGAAATTGAAATAAATAAAGGAAAAATTTTCAAGGGTAGAATTTTGGGTCGTTACAGTTGGGCCAGCCCGTTTTGGTCGACATTTTTCGCGGGCCGGGCTAGAGATTTTAGCCCAAAAGCCCATATTCAACCCGGTTTGTAAGCCCATTTTTTAGACGGGCCAAGGCGGGTCGGGCCGGCTAGCCCGGCGGGCCAACATTAATATTGATTTATCATTTTAAGGTTACATGTGATTCCAATAATGTAGTCAATTTAATATTATTTTCCAACAGAACATTTTACACATGCCTTTTGCAACCAATTTATTATTCATATATAACACATTTATGAGTAAATTACTTATCAATGTAATTTATATCATATACAATACAATACAAAACCTTTACATATTAGTGTTTAATTTATATCATATTTTGTTTAACATAATTACATTTATCACTTTTTTGTTTAAAAAATTACACCTCTCATACATGGTTCATCAATGTAAATGTTTATAAATTAAGGGTTTTTTCTAAGCGTAGAAAATGGAATGATAGTTTGTGTAATTTCCCTTAAACGCATGGAATATCAGTGTAATTTAAATGTGTTTTTGAAAAGAAAAAGAAAAACGGGTCAGCCTAATGGCCTGTCAACTCGGCCAAATATGGGTCGGGCTGACATTTTGAGCCCTTTTAGCAATAAGGGTCGGGCCAACCCAGCCCATATTTTAACGAGCCAAAGGCGGGCCCGACAGGGTCGGGCCGGGCTGGCCCGTTTTGCCACCCCTAAATATGACTATATATAACAAGTTAAAATAAAATAATAATGATATAATAGTCAAGGTTGAAACAAAACACATGAGTTAAGAATTTTCATTGATATTAGTTTAATATTATCATTATTCAGGGACCAATTTTACCAAAAATTAATGTTTAAGGTTTAATCGGAAGAAAAAAAGTTAATGGTGGCTAGTTAGAAATTGCATTAAGTTTAGGTTGTTTTTAAAAACTTCTTACTATTTATTATTCCAAAAAGAAAAGCCGCATAAACAAACAAAATGAAATAATAATAAAAAATACAAAATGACCTGAATCTTAAGTGTCAAGACACAAATATGAAAGCTTAAATGCATGTGAGTTTGAATATTATGCATATCATGGTTTTTATAAAGACAATAATTTACAAGACGACATGGTGCGACATACAAAGGACACAAGATGAAATCTAAGCGTACTCTTATGTTTATATCTTAGTTTACATTTCATTTTTATATCTTTTAGGTGTAAGATATAATGATGGACATAGTACAATAGGTTGCATGCATCTCAGATCATTTGTTTTAATTAGGATCATTATATATGATGATTGAGCTAAAATTATGAGTTTAATCTCAAATAACCGATTAAATGTTGAGTGTCAAATTGATTTATATTTAATACTTATTTTAT